GAAGAATACTAAATGTTAAATACCCAAGTAAACCAAAGTTGAAAGCCCTATGCAAACTAAAAACGCAAGACCCAGACCCAATCACAGTGAGTGTGCGCAAATTGTCAACCAAATATTTATCCAAGTTTATATATCAACACTTGTTCGACTAACCGACTGACCGACCGCAAGAGCTAGCAAGCTGCACCCGCCTTTTGGCTCGGGTATGAGATCTAAGATGGAGTTTTTGACAATTCGAACCGCAAGTGGAGAAAATGCTGGTCAAAAACAACTATATATCAACTAAAACAATGCAGGCATATAATTGGGCTGCCTGCGTGGCTCAGCTGCCTGCGCGTTGAACTAACAAACGTGAAGTCGCTGGCAACAACATGAATAATTTTGATATACTTGACTGGTATGTTACGCGTTGAACTAACAAACGTGAAGTAGCTGGCTCAAATCAAGCAGCAATTCTTAATTTTTATATACCGGAGGAGAAAGGAATAATTTTGATATATTCGACAGGTATGTTACGTATAACGAGGCGACGCTTTGTCTGCAGCAGGGTAAGGTGTCGACGTCTCTTCAGTCGGGTGAGAGAGAGAGAGAGAGAGAGAGAGAGAGAGAGAGAGAGAGAGAGAGAGAGAGAGATTTGGACAGTCTGCTCGTATGGAAAGGTCTCTGGTTTTGTATGCTTTCTTTATTATATTGAATTCATATGTATGTACTATGTATATTTATGTATGAGTAGTTGGATGGGCACGAAAAAATCGAACTCTTCCTGAAAATTAAAGAAAAAATATTTTGTTATTTTGCTATTGCTTTGACTAATATATATGCTCAATAATATATATACTTATATCTGTAGGCATATTGCCTAAATGCCACGTAAAATACGCATTGATGCTTTGACTAGTGTTGTAAAACGACTAAGAGGCAGTTCAAAGTGTTGGCAAGGCCGCAAGAATAGTGTTTGTTAAGATTTACAGAACTGCAAAACTGTTATAATCAAGTCTTCCAATCGACTTTTGCCTGAAATAATAAATAGTTTTAATCGATTCAACAAATCTTAAGCCTTAAGAAATTCGTAAAGAATTATAAATCTTGTGTCCCGACCTTCGTAACTATCTAAACATGCTTGGTGGATGCCAATTTTGGGTAGAGCTCAGTCTAGGAGCTCAGTAGATAGAAACTTGACTTGTTTTTAATATTGAAAAAACAAAATTTCGGCCGGTCGGAGAGTGGATTCGAACCGTCAAGCTGCGCATTAGGCCTTAAAGCAGCTGCGATTGTTTCAATCGAACGAAAATGGCATCGAAATAAACCGCACAAATTGTTCTGGTTATGTTTAAAGCAGAAATAATCAAAAATCCATGACAGCAGGGATACTGTGTGTTAATAACATACGTGACATTCTCTGGATATATATCCGTATATATGTATATGTATTTGAAAATGATTTGAACATCTGTTGCTGGACGAGCACAAAATCTAAATCCAAATTTAGAGTCATGTGAGAGGCGCGCCGCATCAAATTGTCAACTGGTCACGAACCGCAGGCACATCCTCAAAATGTGCCCGTTTGGGGCAGCAGGGAGGGGTGGTTGGCTAACAGGCGGGGGGCGGGTGCAAGGGGTGCAAGGGGTGCGGGGCAGAGTACAGCCATATACAGCACGTGGCAATGCCAAATGTGAGCTGGCTTTGTGACGTGACCCAAAATATAAGGAAAACATGAAAAAACGAGCTAGTGAAAAGATCTGCGGCACGCCGAATACTTAATACCCTGCTAGAGATTCGCCTGTGAGTGAATAGTGAAGCTCGCAAATGCTGAGTCTGAGTAAAGTATCCAAAGAGCTTTGAGTCAAGTAAATGTTTAAAAAATGTATGGTCACAGTTTGAAAGTAGCTGCGTTTTGGAATTACAGTTTTAGAGCCCACATATTGAGCAGCTCGATTTCTGAGAAACTTTTTTAGGGGTCGCACGCGCAGAATCCATATTTTCTGAAATTCACAGACACAGTTTGAAAGTCATTGCGTTTCGGAAATACAGTTGTAGAGCCAGTACAACTGAATTTACTCTACGGATCAGCCCACCTCCTCCTTAGGCACACACAGAGAAAGACGAATCTATGCGAAAGTGAGAGACTGGTTCGCATAGAAAGAGACAGACGGACGACCGTCGGACCTGGCTATAACGACTCGGCTGATCTGGAATATGTATATGCTTAATGGGCTTGGAGATGTCGCCTGCTATGCGTCATACATTTCATGATGATATTAAAATACCCTGCACAAGGGCATAAAACAGGAAAAAAAGAAAACAGGAAAAGCGGAACTGGAACCGGAAACGGATATGGATTTGACTGCGGGTGCGGCAACTTTGACTACTTCAGCGATGGGATGATGTTGATTTAGATGATGCAGCAGCGGCAGCAGGCAGATGAGTTTTTGATGCCTTTCAGCGCTGCGTTTTACGAGCTGACAAACTGGCGACAACAGCAACAACAACAGCAACAACAGCAACAACAAAGGCAGACGGCATAGAGCCAAAAATTTGGCCACGCATAATTTAACAATATGATACAGGAAAAGCTGCAGATAGTTGGTGTAGACATGACCGAAGGGTGGGGCGTGGGAGGGGGGAGGCGGTTGCCACTAGGCATTTCGGCGCGTAGGCGTGGCATCTGTCAAGACTGGGCCGCCCGCTTCTGTTTGTGTTTACATTTCATCTTAAGCTGGCTGCCAATGCCGCATATCAGTCACATGGATGCCACTTTTACAGCCGCCACAAGTGGCACAAGGGGGGCAACAACAACAATTGTCGAGTGGATATCACATATGTGTGTGTGTGTGTGTGTGTGTGAGAGTGTGTGTGTGTGTGAGTGTGGGCAGGCTGGAGTTGTCGTCGTGCAAATAAGCTTAAGCCGTGAAGCTCGTCAAGTGACTTTGGCTGGCAATGTCTACGCATTTCTTTGGCCCCACAGCACACACACACACACACACACACGCACACACACGCACACACACTCACTCGCACAGAAGCTTAGGCTGTTGCCTCAGCCTGCTGTCAGCTCGCCTCCATCTGTGACTTTGTCGCTGGCGTATTTGCATTTTGTATCACTTAAGCAGCAACTTCTTATACCCTACACGCCGCCAGCAAAACGGGCATATTAGTTTTGTGTGTGGCTGTCTGTGCATCGATTAAGAAATTTGTCTATTCGCTTCAATGTGTTGAACATATGCAGCCACGCCCCTTTTATGATAACGTCCATCTTCTACAGTTTGAGAGCTAGTTGCAGTCTTGTTGGCTACTATTGTCTACCGACTTATAAAGATTAAAGGCAATTGATGAACATTTGCAAAAATCAATCAGTTTGAAAGTCACTGCAATTAAGCCTTACAGTTTTAGAGGCCGCAATCGAATAAAGTGAAAAGCGGTAAACTAATTCGATGTCTGCTGGAAACGGAAACTGTAATTGTGTCAGTTGGTTACAGTTTGAAAGTCACTGCGTTTTGGCAGATCGAGATCTAATGAACTTTATTAGGTCTAAAGAATCCATATTTTCTAAAATTCACAGTCACCGTTTGAAAGTCATTGCGTTTTGGAAATACAGTTGTAGAGCCACTACAACTGGAGCTACTCTACGGATAGCGGCACGGCCATTTAAGCCGCACACTCTTCCCCCTACAAATGGTTGAATTTCATTTTTGCCTAAGTCACAGTTTGAAAGCCACTTTGCGGTGTAATAACAGTTTTTTAGAGGCAGAAGCTCGGAGCAAATGAAGGGCGTGAAAAGTGAAAAAGCGTCTGAAAATGGATGTGTCACTAAATCACAGTTTGACAGTCAGTTGCCCTTGTCAATACAGTTTTAGAGTCAGGAGCGGGAACAGCGTATTGCACAGTCGGTTGCAGCCAACTGCAATTGCAATTGTCCTCAGTTTTTGTAGCTGCCACTGGCCGCCGGAGACATTTATTGACACACACACACACACACACACTAACACACACACACACACACACACAAACACACACGCACATGTGCGTTGATCTGTGTGTTTTGTTTGCAACTCAAATGTTAAGTAACGGTATTATTTGTGAGCTCAAGTGCGTAGCTATCTGCCAGCACCCACCATCTCCCCTCCCCATCCTCCATCATCTAACCCCCCTCCACTCCCCTCCCTCCCCTCCCCAGACTCTTTGATCCACCGCCCTCCTCATTTGACAATCAAATTTGGTTTGGCTACAATTTGCTTGGCGCCGGACACGCCCCTCGTTATCCACAGCCAACAGCGTGTTAAGTATAGTCTGTACACACACACACACACACACACACACACACACACACACACACACACACACACACACACACACACACACACACACACACGCACATTTTGCGCTCTATTTGACTTTTAGCTTTCCGACTTGAGCCCACACACATTGAGCTTGGGCTGTTTTTCGACTGTATTTGCCACCCATCTACCTCGCACCCACCCATCCCCCCTCCCCCTCCCTCCCTTCCACTCACAACAGTCCTCATTTTTATCCAAATTAGTGCCCACTCCAAGACGCATCACACACCATCAGATCTGAGCCATTTTCAAGCGGAATACCATTCCGGCATCGACTTTAACTCTAGATTTATTTAAATCCCTGCTGCTTTTTAATTAATGCGAGCTTTTGAACTTTTATTTAAATCCGAAAACATCCAAATGTTTTTCAAAATCTTGAAATCCTAAAAAAAAATAAATAAATAATCCTTGAATATATATAATTTTGAGAAATTGCGTTTCAAATGTCCAAAGTGTAAAACATTAACTTGCGAAATTTTCAAAGTCCAATCAGAAAAGGCAATAATCCTCCCACGCGCACAACTTGATGCCAAATTCCAGCCTTGGACTCATTTCGCCTGCCTAATCCGTTGATACTTTGTTTAGTATCAGAAAATAAGACTGAGATTCGCCCAAATTGGAAGGTAGGAAGGAAGTTGAGCCTCTGGCTTGTGGTTGGAGAGTGCGCTAATCCTTGCGCAAGGTTATCATTTCGGTCTCGATGCTGTCCTTGGTGATGACCTTGAGGACGCCCGTGTCGCCGGTGAAGAGATCCCGGTCGGAGGCCACGCGCAGACAGTTGCGAGCCAGCGCCAGGGCACGCTCTTTGTCGAGAGGGGGATACTGGTCGGGCGGCAGGAGGGTGTGGTGCTCCCAGCCGAGGCCGTGGTCCAAGGCGGGCAGCAGCATTTTGCCGGAGCTGCCGAGCACACGGTAGCGACAGCGCTCCATGTGGCCCACCGGATCGTAGTAGTAGACGGCGCCCTTGCCCGCCGAGTCAATGCCGGCCAGGATCGTGCAGGTGTGGTAGGGGAAGAAGCGCCGGTTGTACATCACACAGGAGATCATCTGGGCCAGGGCATCGGTCGAGATGGGCTTGTTGTGCTCCTGCTCGTACATCTGGATGCGTATCTGCAGCAGGCTGGTCAACGAGATGGTGTCGCACCACAGTCCCGTGGATGCCACCATCGCCAGCGGGGTCATCGGGAACACTTTGCACTGGTCGCGCGTCTCGATGCTCAGCCCACTGCAAATCCGTGTATCCGAGGCGACCACCACGAACTCCTCCCCTGCGATCGCCAGCACCGTTCCCCCGTTCGTATCGTATTCGCTCTCCGACGAGCAGCTCGAGCCCGAGCCCGAGCCCGATCCCGAGCCCGAGCTGCTGCTGCTGCTCCTTTTCCTCTTCTTTTTGTTCCTCTTCTTCTGGCGCTTCTTCTTCCCAGTGCTCTTCCTTCGGCTCAGAACATTCTCATTATTATGCAAGAGAATATTATTTATGTTGTTCAGATCCATTCGATGATTTACTAATTTTATAAAAATGTGCTGCCCTTTTGTTAACTCCGAACTGAAATGAATTTCCAGGAGAAGACATCGCAACGCCCACTAGATTGAGCTGGCGCATAAGAGAGAAGCCGGCTCAAACCTGAAAGCAACAAGCAATACTTTGTGCATATGTTATTTGAATTAGTTTTAATTCAAGGAAAGCCCTCAGTCCGAAAGCAGTATTCACCTGCAGCCACAGGTTTTTGCTAGTTTTGATTAAATTTACCGAAAATATAATATTTTTAGCAGAGCAAAAATGCGGTAAAGATATTTAATTCCACATTTCGCCGAAAACAAAAGTTGCTTTCTGCTAAATTAGAAATTTAATTCATTTATTCAAAACTTTAGAATAACCCGTGCACAGGTCTGAAGCCTTAATACGCAGAAATGAAAATTTACCTAGCCAAAAATGTTGCAAGAGCTGTAGGAGGAATATGGAATAACGAGAGTGGAAGAGAGAGAGAGAGAGAGCAAAAGGGAAAGTGGGAGGGGGAGAGCGAGGAGGTGAGAAAGAGTCGGAAAAGGAGAGATAGACAGACAAAAGGGGGGAATAGATAAAGTTTATCAACATAACTCATAATCGAAGCAGATTCTTAGCAAGCGGTACCTAAATTCATGAGAATCACATAGTAGGGCGATATTAATAACAGGTTTCTCTCGCCTGTGACTTGGACTTATGCAAAAGGTAAAACATGCATTAAATTTTTAATATTGTACCATCAAGTAACAGGTTTTTAGTAGGGACTAGTATCGAACCGACTAGTAAATACCCTGTAACTGCCGTTACATCTGCTCAAACTTTCTTTGATAAATTTTGTCATAGCTGTAAGAAGTTGGAGTTGGTTCCTTGTGCCGGCAGCATACAAGTGTATGCCCAGAAACATATTACCCTATTCGGCTAATAGTTACAGGGTATCATTTGTTATTTGTTTCCTCTGATCTGCTGTACTTAGCCGGCTCTCGTTGCGAACATTTATGCGTATCCCTGCAATGGGCATCTGTCTGCAGGAGGGGTGTATTTAAGTGCAGACCGAGAAGTACTCTTCGATGGGGCTTATTAATTGAATGAGCCCTTACGCGCATCACTGCGCACCCCAAAGCTGAGTTTTGGAGATGGCAATTGGAGCTGGTCGCCTGCAGGTGCACCCTTCTTTTTGGGCTGCAATTTGTTTAATGCTGTTGTCGGGCCTGTTGTGGGCAACCAATTTTACTTACCTGCAGCCCTTAGCCTCTAACCCCTAACTTCTAGCCGCCTGCCTGCCATTTTCGCGCTGCCCAAAAGCCGCAGCAAAACTTTGCCAATAACTGCAAATGCAATGCATTAAGCCAAACACACACACACACATGCACACACATGCACACGGATATGCTGAAAGCTTTTGGTTGGCAAGCGAATATCCACTTGGCCAACGGCACAACAAACAAACACACACACGCACACACACACACACCACTTACGCCCCCTTAGGGCGTGACCTGGTAACGCACCTGTCGCAAAACTGACATTAAATTCACATTACAAAATTGGTTGGCTGCATTCGGCGTATCAGTTTTTGAGCTAAATAATGCCCCAACTGCGCCCAGAGGAGCTGGCTGTGTGTGTGTGTGTGTGCGGTGGCGGAGGCGGGTTAGGGTGCGGGGCGTGGCAACAGCCAAAAGCCATCGATGCGCTCACCTGCCGAAAACTTTGTTTTAATGGACAAAGTTGCCGACAACGCTCGACGGGATTTGCGGCAAGCGCTGCCATGTTGCAATCTTTGCTACGAGCAAGGGCTAAGCGAGGGGTTGGGGGAAGGGGAAGGGGCGGGGGTGGGGGCAGTGTGTGTGTTGCAAGGGCAACTTTTAAGCTGTGAGAGGCAGTCGCCAGAGGCAGTCGCCAGAAGAGCCGCAAAGCAGCCGCCGACTTTAAACTTGCAGTCAACACAAATTAAATTATAAGTCGAGGGTCTGTTCGGATCCGTCGATGCCAGCCTCGTCCTCGAATTTGGCATTCAGCATCTTGTTGCACGGTTGCATTTTACTCTTCCACTCTCTCGCTCGCTGTCTCGCTCTCTTTCGCTGTCTCGCTCGCACACGTGCGAGTGATTTTCTTGCTCGTTAAATTTTGCTGCTCTGACGAGCGACAACGTGGCGTATGCGTAATCTGATATCGACAACTTCGCAAAACTTTTGCCAGCCTTCAAAAGCCACACACACACCCGCACACGCACACACACACACACACACACACACGCTCTGGAGGAGTAAAAGATCTGCTTACGTACAGCTGCCAGCTGCCAGCTGAAGCTGAACGATTTTTGTGGTCCTATTTTTAGTCGGTTGCGTCCTTAAAAAACATCATTAAAATATCAGTTTTCGTGCTCTTATTTGAATACCCTACACCTTTGAAAGAGGGGCACATGGACAGCTCTAAACACATAAGAAGAACGATATCTCTATACATAAGAATGTTTGTTCTAATTGATTGACTGACTGACTGACTGACTGACTGATTGATTGACTGACTGACTGATTGATGATCAACGCACAGCCCAGACCATAAGCGCTGAGAAGTTCAAATTTTCACAGTCGGGATTTTGGGAATTCCACCGGAATCTGTGGAAAAATCGCGAAAAACGTTTGCATATAACTTTATTGTTTATACGATTGGCTTCGAACTCATTTTGAAAGTTCTTTGTTCAAGTTAATTTGAGGTATGTTTCACACTTTTTAGAAAATGAGTTCCACCTCGCTTTAAATAGGGGTCAAAGATTTGGTATTCATTTCTAAGAATCTTTATGACAATTCATTTGAGCCGTCCTTCATACTTTTCCCGAAATTCGCACCTCTTGGATACTCAATGTGGGTCAAAAGTTGATTGGGTGAAGTTCTGAGTTTCGTCCGCTCAGACTCAAACTTATTTTCAAAACACAACATAAAAACTTAATGAACACAAAATGGAAATTGGGCGAAAAGTGCATGTTCAACTTTTTTGTTTACCATGCGTTTGGCTTCAATCTCATGTTTGTGAGAATGGATGTGATACACAAAATCTACTGCACTTGGATGGAAAATGCGGGTGAAATGTTTAATGAACGGAAGTTTACCTTGCGGCTTCAAGCTTCTCACAACAAAAGTAACATATACATCAAATATTCAAATATTTCTGTAATATTTCATTTTAGAAGTATAGTTCAAAATAGTACAGGTTTCCACTGGCGGAAACTGGATGAAAAGGTTAGTTCAAGCATAAAACTTGCCACGGCCAAGGCCAAGTATCCGCCATATGTATATAAGTATGTTTGCATGTATGTATGTATGTATGCATATATGTATGTATGCATGTATGCATGTATGTAATTATGTATGTAGATGTGTATGTATGTATGTATGAATGTATGTTTGTATGTATGTATGTATGTATGTGTGTATGTGTCTATGAATGTATGTATCTATGTCTTTAAGAATGCATGTATGTATGTATGCATGTATGCATGTATGTATTTATGTATGTATGCATGTATGCATGTATGTATGTATGTATGCATGTCTGCATGTATGCATGTGTGTTTGTATGTATGAATGTATGTTTGTATGTATGTATGTATGTATGTATGTATGTATGTATGTGTGTATGTATCTATATATGTATGTCTCTAAGAATGTATGTATTTATGTATGTATGTATGTATGTATGTATGTATGTATGTATGTATGCATGAATGTATGTATGCATGCATGCGTGTGTGTATATGTGTGTCTGAATATTCGCAAGCATGTGTTTATGTATTGATGTGTGTACATATGTATGTATGTTATTATGTTACACATACTTGTATGCAAATATGTATGTGTGTACATGCGGGTATATCGAAGTATATTTGTCATTATGTATTATGTACATAAGCGTGTATCTTTGTATGAATGTATAAATGCAAGTATGTGTGTGTATTTATATATGTATATATTATGTATGCATTTATATATGTAAATAAATGTATACATATATTTATTATGTTTATATGCTAGCTGCATATTCAAAAAAATAACGATTTCTTAACTAATGCCCTACTACGCGATTCTCAGGAATTCAAGTAAGACGCGTCGGCTTCAGCTAAAGAGGAAACTGCGGCCTTATTATTGGAGGAGGCGGCTTCAACTAGCAAAGGAGGAGGCGGCAGTTTAAACATAAGAGAAGACGGCGGCTTGAACAATGGAGAGGAAGGTGGCTTCAACTATTGAGGAGACGGCAACTTTAGCAATTGAGGGAGCGATGTTGGCTATGCCTTTGGCGGAGGAGGCGACATCAATTTTAATTTGGCAATTGAAAAAAAAGGTTCGTATTATAAATATAACTTTGTCTTATTATATGTAACAATTATTACAATCGCTTGAAAGCATGTTTTGTATAATTGTATTTGTATTTGAATGCATACATGTGCACATATGTTTATGTTGTGCTGAGCTGAACAAAAAACGTACTCACAAATATTGCTCTTCTATGCGATTCTCACTTGTTTAAGTAAGGTTTAGCAAGCAAGCTGCGTCTTTAAGCTAATAAACATTATCTCTTCTTTTCAGTTCTTTCAGTGATGTGTTACTATAAAAACTCCTCTCCTGCCTGCTGATAGATGACGATCAAATAATCGTGCGTGGCAATTTTCAGGTGAGTATGTTATTGCAAATATATATTTATAGTAATACGAATATATATGTATGTCACATATGTATATGCATAGGGTATATTGTGGTGAGGTCTAAATTCTTGATCAATCGAACCTTACTTAAAGTTGCTTTTATTTCTTCATAGCACTTAAAGCTCACATGAAGAATAACTTATACTTTTGATTGATATTTCTCGTTATTTTTCAACATAAAACTTAAAGCTTTGTAAAGTCAGAACTTTCTTCTTCTTCATCAAAACTCTCATTTACCTCGCAGCTCCCGTTAGGCTTAACATGCACTATTTTCTAAAGCTAGGAGTTTGGCTT